TGAGGATGAGGAAGGGGTGCCGCGCCCGGCACCGGGAGCGGGGAGGTTCCCCGCCGGGGTGTCACCCTCCCCGCGGAGGCACCGGGCAGGGATGCGACGCGGACAGCGGGGCCCAGGCCGCGGCCGGGGGTAGCGGGGCGGCCCGGGGCTACCGGCGGGGCCCGGTTCGGCGGCCGCTCCGCTCCCCGCCCGGTGTGAGTGTCTCCAGCCCGGCCCCGCTCCTCCCCCAGCCCGCACGTCCCCGGCAACCCCGCTCCCCCCGCACGCCCCAGCTGCGAACGCCCCCGGTCCGCGGCGCCGCCAGCCCGCCCTGCACGGCTTCCCGGTGTTTCCCCGGCCGTCATCCCGGGGCTCGACCCGCGGCCCTTCCCGCACGGTGCCTCTCCTCCCCGGGGATGCCCCGGCTGCCGGTGTGGAGCCTGTTGCCGCCGAGGTGGCGAGCGCTTCCCGGATAGASCTGGCCTCAGCCAGGGCACCCCTCCCCAAAGACCCACATCCCGGCGCTGCCTCTGCCCACGCGTTTGTCTGCGTGATGGAGCAGCCTCCGCTGCCCGCCGGAGCATGGCCAGGGCCCCGGCTCTTTCCTTCCCCATCGCTCCTTCCTTCCGCCGGGCTCGCATCTTCAGCACCCGGTGGCCCTGCCGGGGTCGCTTGCCAGCAGCGTGACCCTACACCGCAGGGTGACAGAGCACCCCGCGCCCCTTCTCCTTTCTCCGAGGGAGTGATGGTGCCATTGTGGTCGCCCAGCCCTCGGCTGCCGTCGCTCCAGGCTCACCCTCCTCCCTGCTGCCGAGCCCGTTTTCTCCCACATCACGATAATGAGAATTCTGACGGGTGCTTACGTGCCTGCCTGCGAGCACCCATGGGTGCTGCTCGCTGCTCACTGAGGGGGAGACCCGTTGACATTCGATGCTTGGCCCTATGTGACCAAGCTGTCACCCTGCCCAAAGGGCAAGAGTGATGGTTGCCATTTGCCATCACCAGCCCCCTGGCCCTGCACTGCTGTTTTGGGGTGCCACCATTCCCTGAGCCTCCCTAGCGGCTGCGAGGCCAGCGATGGCTGCGGTGCACGTGCTCCTGTGAGCGCCACGTGCCGCAGGCAACCGGCACCTCTGCGTGTCCCTCCTTGTCCCCGGGTCACCCTCCTGTGTGGCGGCACAGGGATGAGCTGCCTGGACTCGGCAGCCAATTTAGGGTGCACTGGGTGGGCAGGAGAAGGGGGTCCCGCTGGGCACCCCATGGTCTTGAAGATGATGCTGTGGGACCACAGTATCCGTCTCCCGCCCCAGGGTGCCCAGCGCTGCCGTGGGCGATTCTAGGGGGGTTGTGCAGGTTGGCATCCATGGGGGTGATGGTGGGGGTGCATGGGGTGCCAGGCACGGTTCCCCCTGGCTGCGGGCGCTGCGGCGCACGGTGAAGCGTGTCGCCATGGGAACGGGGCGTCCACGTTTCCGTGTCGCTCACGCTCGCGTCTGTCTCGTTGCAGGGCCCCCACCCCGGCGGTCCCCCCCCAGCGATGGGCAGCGGGACCCCGCCAGCCCCGTCCCCCCGCCGCCCGCCCCGCCGGCCCCCCGCCCCGCCGCCCGCCCGGCGCACCCAGGCCTGACCCACCCGCTCCAGCCCCCCCCAGCTCCATGGCGAGGACGGACCCCTGACGGCAGGCGCGCCCGCGGGCCAGAGGAGACGGCGCCGGGCACGGCCCGGGGAGATGCCCTCGGCGGCCCTGACAGCATCGGGTCCTCCCTGACCCTGCCGCCGCCCCGAGCATCCCGTCCCCCGTCCCGAGGGCAGGGAGAGGCGAGGGCCTCCCCCCGGGGCCGGCTGCCAAGATGGTGATGTCCCAGGGCACCTACACCTTCCTCACCTGCTTCGCGGGCTTCTGGCTCATCTGGGGCCTCATCGTGCTGCTGTGCTGCTTCTGCAGCTACCTGCGGCGGCGGGTGAAGCGGCAGCAGGAGGAGCGGCTGCGGGAGCAGAGCCTGCGCGCGTTGGAGATGGAGCCGCTGCACTACGAGGGTTACGGGGGCAGCCCCCCCGGCATCGCCATTCCCCACCGCCTCCGCCTCGAGCCCCACCATCACCATCACCACCCCCACCACATCCCGCCCCCCCGGCCCTGGAGCTGCCGGCACGGTAAGGAGCAGGGAGGGGCTCTCGCATCCCCGGAGCACCTGCCTCGCCCCGTTTTGGGGGGGATGCGACCGGAGAGCCGGGGCGCAGCGCTGACGGCAGCAGGGGTCCGGGGGGGGCTTTGCCTTGCAGAGTCGGACCTGTCCAAGCCGCCGTGCTACGAGGAGGCGCTGCTGATGGCGGAGCCCCCCCCGCCGTACAGCGAGGTGCTGATGGACACGCGGGGGCTCTACCGCAAAATCAACGCCCCTTTCCTGAGCCATGAGCGGCTGGAGAAGCAGGAGCAGCCTCCCAGCTACAAACCCCTTTTCCTGGACGCCGGCTACGGTTCAGCGCTGCACCTGCCGCGCTCAGCCAGCCCCGGCCCTGCCTGCCCGGACCTCTACCTGCAGCAGGAGTGCTCCCCACGCATGTTTCCCAGCTGGACGGACTCGGAGCTCAGCAGCAGGGACACCTACGACACGGGACCCTGGCACCTCCCGGTCTCCATGCCTCTCTTCGGCAGGACTACCGCTGTGTAACGGCGGCCGCGGGGGACGCCCGGACCTTGCTGTGCGCCCGGGGAGCGGGGGGGTTTCGGTTGCTCGTGTCACCCCAGGGACACCCGCCCCGGCGCGGGCCATCGCCGCCGGCGCGGAAGGGGCTGGTTCCCCGTCTGGCCCCCGCCGGCCCCACCATGGCCGGGGGCGCTGGGGACCCGGACTCTGCTCTGTTTCTTAAATTTTTTGTTTGTTACAGTTTGAGAATAAAAGTTTGTGGCTCGGGTTTGCCTCCTGGCGGGCTGGCATGGTGGGACCGCCCCCTCCCGAAGGCAGCCGTACGCCCCCACTCCCGGCCCTCCCTRCCCCCCCAGCAGGCTGCAGCCCCCGTGGGAGACGCTTTATTTATTAACAGACATGAGCACACCGCCGGTACAGAACTTGTGCTTTCCAAAAAGTTTCCGGGGGGAATGGGAGGAGAGGGGCCAAGCAGGGGCCAAGCAGGGGAGGACGGGGCTCCCAGCAAAGAAGGAGTGGGGAAGGGGTAAAAGCCCTCACACCAGCTCCCTGCCAGGGTTTGGGGGGGGGACGCCGCTGGCCTCAGCCTCGCCTCGGTCGGGTCACTTTATTGCCATATTCATTTATTATTATTATTATTTCTTTTTTTTTTT